TCAAAGAAAGGTAAATACAGTGTTCGAATAAAGGATCCTTATTCAAACCCTGTCCTTTATTCGAACAATAATAGTATATAATACATATAGCATAAAACCAATAATGCTTGGCTATGAAGTTGGGTCAAGGTAAACTTCAAACCTGGTTTAAAAGTACAACAATGAATTGTTAACAGTTTGACAATATACAATACTCTACCTTATAGGCTGATAAACGATCAGCATTCTACATTCCATGGAAATAGATTTACAGTAGAATTATATAGACAACAAAAGTGTATACAACTACAGAGAAAAACTTATGCAAAAATATGCAAGACTTGGATTCATCGGCCTGATTAATGGAGCTGTGCCTCAAGTATTGAATATAAGTCAGACAGTTCCTATCATTCCTCAGTTGCTGTGCTTCGGCATCAAAGTACATGGTTGCGTTTTGATGGTTAATGATTAGTTATCAATTCATGATTTAAAGGGGACGATTTATCAACGGTTGTTATTATACACTTTTACATTTTAATTGTTAATGGTCATGATTCTATGATTTTTTTTATAGTAATAATTAGTAATAGTAATGATATGTAAGATATAGGCACAGTTTGTTGTAAGTCTGCTAATGACTTCTTTTTAATATTATAAGCAATTTAAAAATTGCACAATATTGCACAATATTTGAAAGTCAATAAAATAGTACAGAAATTATGTAATAGATTATTTGCACATCAACTACTTGTTAAACTAGATGTTTAATGCAAACTGGGGGGAAAAACTGCATTAAAATTTTATTTAAACCATCTAGATTATCATACACAAATAAGTTTGTACCTTAGCCCCAACATGGCAGTGCTGATTTTGGACCCTCCATCTGTTAAATTTCTTCTCTGCCCCCCCCCCCTCTATTTCAAATTTACAGATAAGTTGGTGAATATTGTTCTTTCAATTTATATGCAAATGTTATTGAGTTTATTAATATATTAAAAACAACCCCACTGTAACACTATTAGCTGGAAAGTTAACAGTCTAAAAAACTAAAGGTAACAAGTCACTCCTTGAGCTAGTGTATGCCCAGTGATAGAAAGCAAACTCCTAGCCACAAATCAATATCTGGAGTACTTTGAATGAAGCAGTCAAGATGTATGGTTAATTATCTTGTATTTCCCCCATTAGTCCCACTGGTAATATTACAGTATTAGCTGGAAAGTCACCTAAACCTTAAATCCCACTGACTTCCCAATTTTAAGTAATCATGAATTCAAGGTTCAAGTGGAGAAGTATTATTTTTATTAATTTTTTGAAAACTGTATTTTCCCTAAGGTGTCCCATCTGGGAATTTGCTTAGACCGATAGCCCTGCCTATAATATTTTGTATTTCTATTTACATTAGAGTGTGCTGACAATTCTAGAAAAAAAAGAGGTGATAATTTTTGAGTAAATGTCAACATGATTGTGATAATGTATATTTATATAGTATGCCTACACCTTTGTGCGAACAAATAAAATATATTAGGGCCTACATGCAAAAGGTTGAATATGCAGTTATCATTATCTAGGGTAGTGTAGCAGACCAATCATGGTAGGCCTGTTGATAATGTATACTCCATTTAAGGGATTCTTTTGTAGGCCTTCATTGCTTCAACTTGTTTGTACACAGTATGGATTTGAATTAAACCTCAAGCAAAGAAATATTACTATTTCATAATAACCACATAATCCCCATTAAAGTGCATGGTGCCCCTGTAAAGATCGCAGGCACCAGGTAATAATGAAAGCGGTTGAACTAGAGCCAAAGACTCACTGAGTAACAGGTGGTAACAATACAGTTATAGATATACATCTAAATAAAAGAGAGGTTTATTTTGTCCAGTATCTTGTCAAAGAAGTTCTAGGCCCCTTTGATCACAAATGTGTTCTATTATAATCAAACTGAAAATTGTGAAGTAATTTTCAAAAGGTAATGACTTACCCATAAGTTTGAGCAAAAACAGTTATAATTAATAATAATTACAATATTTATTCATAATAGAAGTGAAATTGTACTTGGTTTTAAATAAAACAGAAAATCCTGCTTCTGGTACAGCTGGAAAAATAATGAACTGTTCCAACAATCAAAAGTTGTGGTGGTTCAATAGCAAATACAAAACATTGTTGAATTATGTATAAAGAAAATGTTTAAAAGACAACAAAAAAATATGAAATCAAAATACAGTCAGCTAGTCTGAAGCACAATGAAATGGACTATACATATACATGGTGTATAATCTGTCTCTTATACACATCTAGATGTGTATAAGAGACAGCATTTATTCATTAATTTTTTACTATATCCACCTGTAATATTATTTGTTTTGTCTATCTCTGCTATCCATTCATTAATCTCTCCATATTTAAATTTATCTATGTTTAAATATTTATCACCAGTGTAGGTATATCTCCATACCAAAATTACTATCAAGTGATTATGTATTTACACAGCTGTATACAGTTGGTTTTTTTTTTTTTTTATTAGGCCTACAAAAATTGTTTGTTTGCCCTTTAATGCTGAAAATTGTATAGGAGGGGTGGGGTGCAAAATTTTTTTCTCATGTCACCAAAATTAAGATATTAATCGCAACGCTTGCAATTAAGCCTGTCTCACTATTTGTTTTTCAAAGGGTATTTTCACTGAACAAAAATAACCCATAATCAACATTTTGCAATGAATTTAGGCCTAAGATGCCAACACATTACATCAAACACTAAATTTAGACAACTTTCATGTGCAAAATGGAGAAAAATAAAGATCACTTTTTAAAATTTGTGAACAAAAAATTTGAAGACAAAAACTTGTTTTAAAAACGCCGCCCCTATTTTTCTGTGAGCTAGGGGCGGGTGCTGGAGGGCAAGCAATCAATTTTTTTTAGGACTTATTATATCAGATAAACTACTTCAGGTGATGATAATGTACATTTTATTTAATTAATTATTTTATATTATTTTATTTATTTATTTTTTTTAATTATTTTTATTTTTATACTATTTTTTAAAATTTTAATTAAATTTGATTTTATTTATATTCTCCTTAGTATGAATATTCTGTAAATAATGAAGGAATGGTTATAAATATGTGTCAGTAAATTTGCATATAAAATATTTTCCTGTCCTAATTTTCACATTAAAGCTATGGCAATAACCTACTTATTATTTTAAGTTTAATGGATCATCATACAAAGTGAATCTTTATAGTCATTGGTAAACTTTGATAAATTTAAAA